ATTGCTGTTGATATAATATCACAATGTGTGACATTCGTAGAATGAAGTTAGATTAATGATTTGAGAAATTTTATACAGTCCTACCATACTGGGCAATTTAATCAAGAACAACCAAAAATGGAATGTGAAGAATATAGCCAGGTGATTTATGGAGATACAGACTTCTGCCTTGCCAGATTACCAAGAAGAATTCTTTGAAAGATACTAGAAAAATACTATATATACCTTTATAGTATTGGTTGTAATACAGAAAAAGAAAATACCTGATCACAGATTATTTTTAAAATGTACAATGAGCTAATCAAGGAAAGAAGTTCATTCAGAAAAAGATCTGTAGTGCATACAATGAATTCAATCGAAATCGTGAAATAAAAATTATCATGTTAAAATACAAGAAGCTGCTATTCGATCTAACCATGAATAGTAAAAAGTACTATGCCGGGTACAAGTTCGAGCTGAAGAGTGATAGGGGCCTGCCCAATTAATCGTTCTCTGAGAATTTTGCTAGTGCCAGAAATCATATATCAAGAGATGCCAAGCTATTCAACAAGCGATTGGTTTTTGATAAGATGATCAATGCTTTTATACAAGAGAATGATAATTTTAAAAAGTATGCATACATGAAATGATTTTCTAATATTCATGTTCATGGATTGCAAATTGTCAGACATGATGTGAACAATTTAACCAAGGTGATACAACAGATGACCTACTCGAGACTCTTTGACTATCGAGAAAAATTCAAATTTGTAACAGAAAAGGTGATTAAAAAATTCAAGAAGTTCTTTGACTTCTTTATCAATAGTAGAAATAACAAAAATAATTGTCTAAGATTCTTTCTAAGAAATGCATAAAGTCCAAACATGGTGTTAATATAATAGTTGTACCTACTATGAAAGAGTTTTTTAGTGGCAATTATTTAAATAAAATCAAGAGTACACAAAAATAAATGTTTATTGAATTATTATTCATTTTTTTTTTAAAAAAAATATTTTTATGCATTAATTTTATTAATAAATATGATTCGCTTTTTGATAAAAAGACTGCCTAATGAATTTTGAAGTTCTCGTTTAACCTCATTTGCATCTTTTTTTTCCACCATGCATAAAGAATTAATGAAAAATGGATTTTAGTTTTCCTGGTCATGATGATCTTTTTTATGACTTGAATTTTGTATAGTAACTTTCTCTGAACTATCTTTTTGATCATGTTGATGAAAAGGGTTTCGGATTGGGTGTAATCCAAAAATTTTCTGGTAATATAATATGACAATTCAACTGATTTGATACTGTTAAAATACCCAATGTAAAAACAATGAACTGTATCTTTTGGATTCATTTTTGTAATATCAGTTTTAGCTTGGTTTTGCATGATGGGATGTTTTTGCTATTTTTGTATAGAATACATTGTAGTATTTTTTTAAAGAGTTCTCTTCTGAGAATATATGAGAATGAAGCGTAATTGCATATGCTCATTTTTGATCATGATTCTGTGATGATTTTTTTCAAACCTTCTGGATCATTGTGAAATCTATTTCTCATCAGTCTCAAGAATACTAACCGTTGAATGATTGGTTTACTCAGTTTGAAGACCGTAGTTCTAAACAGATCGAATCTCAACCTCTTTTTTGTGATTTTAGGAATAAATCTGAACACTTCCGTTTCTCTTTCATCATTTTTTTAGATGGTGTTCTTCTGTAGATTAATCTGATATTCAAATTTCACTATAAAAAATTCTGTTAACTTTTGATACTCACCTTTGAGACAAAGACTAATGAGTTCCAGACAGGTTGGGTACTTGGACTTTTGAAAATATTTTCAATGATTTCTTTTGTGATGCTCGATTCATTGTTCTTAAAAATATCTGAGTTAAACAAAAATATACAAGAAAATACCACTTTTTGAATTGACGTTTAGTGGTTCTCTTGCATAGAAAATGAATTTGCAAAGGTGGTTGAATAATTTGGAGGTGCTAAAAAGAGGTTTCCAAACAGTATAATCATCTCTGATGATATTCTTCAGTATCTACCTCGATAAATAATCCATATTGTTATTTAGCTACACTAGGGATGAATTACACTAATAAGTAGTTTACATTGTTTTACTAAATCATGGTCCGTAAATAAATTTCTATTTTAAGCAAGTTTGTGATGAAATTTAAAATCGTTAAAAAGGCAGCTTTTATGACAATTTATCATAAAAAAAGTTTACCAGGATAAACAAGAGGGACAGATGCTAAGTATGATGATTACATTACCCCATCTAATTTCAAGGACTGAATTAGAAAAAATTATAAGAGGTCCAGTACAAACTATTCATACTATGTGAATACGAGAACAGGTGACAAAGCCAGCATGTTTTCAAAAACAAAGTCTGTATATGTTCGACTTGAAGGATATAACTTTGAAGAGAAGCAGGAATAACGTGAATGTGAAATCAAGAGTATAATTCAATTATATAATAAATCATATAAATCACATGAAAAAGATAGGTCAGTTGTCTATGTATATCTTGTGTTAAAACAAGAAAAGAGATACTGTACAATTAGAACATTTGTAGAATTGCATATAAATGATCCTAAGGAAGAATGTGGATTTAAACGAGAAGATTAGACTATAACACAGGCTGAAACAGATGAAAAAGATGCAGAAAAGAATGATAAACCTGCTGACATTCTTCCCATAGCACTGACTATATTTTTAGAAACGTTGAAAATAATTTATAACAATCAGTTAGAAAGATACAAAGAAAAAAAATGTTACTAGGTGCATGTCAAAATCCAATGTCTGTGATATATTTCACACACGAGATCAATTACATGTGGCATTTTGGTTATACTAACAAGAATGGTGGGGTCTTAAATACGTCAATATGATCGAGAAGATCAATTAGATGTTAAAAAAATCTGGCAGTATCGTAAAAGGTGACGTGGATTTCTATGCAAAACCAGAATATGATCGATGGTAATTCTCTGGCTTTCTACTAGCAACTATACGCTTTTGACCCTGCTTCTGAGTGGTTGGCTGCTTTAAAAAAAACAAAAAAATACAAAGTCAGGGAGCTGCTAGGCACAGATTTGTCAATATTAAATAACAATTGACAGGAAAAACATAAATCGAGTACGGTTAAGAGTAATGATGCCAGTACACATGCTTTGAAGAGAGTCAAGAAATGAGCAATGATTTAATTTATGTATTTTGATTGTATTTCTGTTCGCAAAAAAAAAATTTATTAAAGATATTAACAAGATTACACTTTTTATAGAAAAAAAAATAACTTGTAATGTTCAGCTGTGAATGTGTTATTGAATATATACAACATGTATTGTGTGCTTTGGTTGTAATTCAAGAAACATTTTAATTTCCAAAAATCCTGTTCAAGAGATTCTAGTAATATGCACAGGTCGACTTGTGTATTTTTTGATTTTATGATAGGTTTCCATATCTCTATTTTGATGGGCTGGTACTCGATCCTGTAGCTATTAGAAACTTTTGTCATCCTCCCCGTGAACTTTCTGAGATCGTGTAGTATTGATTTTTGGGTCTGGCCAAGTTGGCTCGTGAACCTGCTGACCAACACCTCGCAGATACCATGGTACTCAAATGTGAACCTGCTTTTGGTGTACTCGTACTCACCTATGGGTAAAAATTGGGCGCAAGATCAAAGTACCAGTTGCATATGCTCAATGACTCCTCGATCCCGATCGCATTAAAGATATTTGAGAGTTCATGTTGTTTTACAATATTTAGCATGATTTCATCAAAACTTGTCAGGAGATCGACCAACATTTTTTTTGATAACAGGAATGAATATATTTAAAAAAACATATCTCAGCTCTTTGGTGTGAAACATGTTTCAAAAAAGTTTTTGACATATTCGAGCAATGTTTCTTGCTGAGTTCTGATCCTGCCCAGTTACTTGCTGAATTTATTGAGGAAGATGTTTGGTGATTGAGTAGATTGTGATTCAAGAACAGTGTTATAAATAGGAAAAACGAGAAGATGACTATCTTCTCACCTGCTCTCTCCCTGATTAACAGATAGTACTCTTGATTGATAGACTATAGGTAATGTGAATCGTTGGTTATTAACTTCTTGGCAATATTGTTCAGGGATGCCATATGCTCCTCCTTGTTTAACGTTTACCAGTAGTTGTATATGTATTTTACGGATTCGCTATTGATCATATTTTCTTTTTCATGTGATATCATCTGAATTGATTATCTGAAAGAAGAGTTTCTGGGTTCACTCAGGTACCTATCATGTTTAAATTATTCACAAACACAGATACCTGATTTTATATTACACCAGAACTCAGGATTGTACAATTAACTTCTAGGTATTGTTTATTGAGATATAAATTAGGCCTGATAGATTTGTCTTGAAAGGAAAAAAACTAAACTATCAAAAATGTTTCCAATTAATGTGAGGTACAAGAAGCTACAAAATTTAAAAGAGCTAATTTCTGGTGATTGTGTAGAGCTTGAGAAGTGGCTTGATCGGGTCTCTAACAACTTCTGATGGTGGTTTGTGAACGAAAAACTAGCAAGAAGCCTGTATTACCCAGGTGACAAAGAAACATTCTTTCCGTGTAGTCTGAGGTACAATGGTGAAGTCTTGTTATTCCTCATCACGCATAGATCATTTAATTTTTACAGGAGATTTATCAAAAACTTTTTGGAAGATAATCTGGAGAATCTATCCTTAAAGATAATTGTTGAGAATGTGTTTGAAATGATGTAGTTCATTGAAAAGAAGGCAACCAAAGAATATATGTTGAGCAGTGATCTTAGAGTTTATCTAAATAATATTGAGAAATTTTATAGGATATCTTGGATGTTTCCTGCAAATGGTGAAATATTGTACAAAAATGTATGGTGAGCTGAGAATATTAAAATCTTTCAAGAAAAAAGATTATATTTTCATTGTGAGAGTTTTGTCTGAGCTCACTAGAATTAAGCCAGAGACATGGAAATTGACATTTCTGGTCTCAGGAACAAGGCATTATACGAAATCGCATACTGGTTCTACAGTGAAAAGTCCCTAATCAGAAACACCTCGATTGCAAAGATGAGGCTTAAAGAGATCACTGATAATTTGTCATTGAGATACCAAACCAGGGCTGCAAAGTTGTTTACCGATCTTATCGATTGGAAAGATGATCTTAAAAAAGCCAAGATTTGCATCAAATATCTAAAAATATCAGAGGACAACAGACCCAGCATTTACTATTCGTTGGTGCTCCTGCACAAAGAGACGAGCAAAAAAAGGTATCAGACAAATATTTCATGAAATCGTCAGAATTAAATTATCAGATCTTACAATCGATGTAAGGAAATTTAAAAATCAATAAAAAGAACAATTTATTGTAGTACTCTAAATTTTAAATATATTATCTATTCTATGCAAATAAAATTAAAATAAAATTTATTCGTATGGTATAAATCGTATTTATATAAATCTTGTCCATATTTACAAGTGACCAAAATAGCAATGCCTTCTTTCGAGATCTTGTGTCTTTTTCATGATTATTTGGTATAATTTTTGAGTTAAAGTATTCATTAGTTTCAAAATTATCTTCTAAATCTTCGATGATTTCATTCTTGAATTTGAGAAAAGAATATTTATTCTGTAAACAAGAGTAGTAATTAATGTATTATGTATTACAGCATACGTAAATAGGTTTAGCAATAGGGAAATAACAGGCTATTCAAAATTTATGCATAGTAAATCATGTTTATTATAATTTATTGTATATAAATAAAGTAATTTATACAAGATTAGACAAATGCAATTCACAAATGGTCTCCAGATCTTGGTACATTGATGCTTTGGCAAAATTCTTTTGAGCTAGATTTTGCAACAGTTCACTATAAAATCAATTTAACATGTTAAATATCTCAATTGATAACAACTTTTGAAAGTACAGGTCTTTCTTGTAAGGTTCTCGTGAATCGATGATGTAACGTATTATCTCACATGGTAATATTGTGAGATATTGCATACGCAGCAATTCGTATCTCTTTTTTTCTTTGATAAGAAGATCATTGATGAAAGCTGAATTTTTGAAGCTCGGATTAGTGGCTGTACTGATCATCAGTTGACCAAAAATGATCACATTTTGGATCGAGATTATGATGATAAAATTTTTGAGTTCTTGGTCTGAGAAGCGTGGGAGGTGTTCCTGAAACTCATGATTGATATCGGTTACTTAATATTTATGCTCAGATCTTGTGAATATGGCTAGCTTGTATTCCCCTCATTTGTATAGGTAATGCTTCACAATCTTTGGTCGCTAAGTATACTGACGAGCGAGTGATTCCTCATGCCTTATGAAATAGCCCACGATATTATTCTGTTTTTCTATTTTTACTGTAAATTGATGCGATGTTTTTTTGGGAGGTATTTATAGACCGTAGTTAATAATTGGGTAGCTTAATATTGTCATGTTCATTCTGCTTATGATATTCACAGATCAGTGCCAGATCCTGGAGTATTATTGCTTCGATAAACTTTTCTGTGAATTTTTCGTTTAGATCGTAGATAAGATTTAGCTCTTTATTATGATTTGGATAAAATTCACTATCTATGCTGCACGAATGGAGGTAGAGACTTGACTTAAATTGCGATGCAATACCATCAGATGATCTTGTGCAACTTTGGGCAAATTCATAATCTGTTCTTTAAATAGAGTCCTTTACTCGATCTTACGCCCTCTGATGAAGCTGTTCAGTAACACAGATGCATGTTCACTCAATTGACCTATCAGATCGAATATGACCCAGTCAAAGACTATGATATTCTGCATGCATGTGATATGAATAAAGTCTTCTAGATTGTTCTTTGGGAATCAATTGACCAGGCTGTTAAAATCCTGATTTAGCAAAAGAATCAAATTGCTGTATGTCATGCCTGTAAATATTTCAAGTTTATATATCCCACAACTCTCGAGATAAATTCTCAATTTAAAGTTGCAACTCTCAAGAGCCCTGCTAGTGAATCGATGTCATCCTTAAAGTATTTTTCAATTTTCTTTTTGTTTATTTTGAAATGATCAAGAGAAACTAATAGTGAATCTCAGATATTTATATTTAATTTAGTACAAGTAAAAAAAGAGGATTGTTGATTGAATCCTACTATATTGGGATCTGTTTAATAGTCAATATTATCAGATCTAAGATATTATCACTATCATATGATCTGATTCCATTTCTGCCTTTCTTAGTGCACATAGATCAGGGATTCAAGTATCTATTTGTACGAGTTCTGGTGGCAAATATGATATAATATTAATTTTTTGTGGTCAATTGATGAATCGCGTTAATTTTAAATTAAATCTTTTAAATACTATAGTATTGACCTGGATGGATAGAGATGAAACTTAGTATGTCAGATAAAAAAAGATCATATCCGCGGACAAAAAAAAGTAGCATAACATGGATCTGGCTGTTATTTTTCATAACTAATAACATTTATAATAAGATATTAAACTTTACTATTAATAATATAATTCACAAACTTGGTATTTCTGATTGTCAACTGTCAGTCGTATTACTGTGAAACCACGTGCTATTATCTGTGAATGTGGTGTTTCAGTAAACAGAAAAAACCCAAACATAGAATGTTATGCCTATATTAATTTATAATTTATTAATATAAATTTAACTGGTTTACCAGATCTAAAACTGGTAGAATTAAAAAAAAAATAAAAAAATACGTGAAGTTATGATCCCTCACGATGTACTGAATTTCATAAATAGTTTACTACACGAATACTGTGATAAGAAGGTTTCAGAAATAATCAAAGAAAACATCTTCCAATGTGATAAATTAGAAATCTCTGCGATTAAATCTGTTAGAAAGAAGAAGGCCAGCATGACACCACGTCCACCAAACGCATTCATTCTGTACCGCAAGAGCAAGCAACAGTTGGTGCTCAATGTGCATGGGAAGATCAGCAACAACGAAATATCAAAAAAGATCAGTAATATATAGTACAATGAACCAAATAAGAAAAAAATTATGCTAGTATCAGCTTGCTAAGAAGAAGAAAATAAAGCATATTGCAAGATATCTGGATTACAAATATAGCCCAAGATAGTCATCTAACAAGATTTGATACAAGAAAAGGAGGTTTATAGAGATGGTAACTCTTAAACCAGATGAACAGGAGACTGAACACGTGGTATCCAAGCAGAAGTATTACATTGAGGTTGATCAACCTATTAATAAACCTGAAATTCAACCAGTTATTGAACCGGTTATGGAATTTGAACAGGTCACTAATCCTGAGTACTCTTTTTATAATGACAAACGATATCACATGACCGAGAACTGGGAATATGGTTAATGATTACCTGCTTCAATTTCTATCACGAATGGGTACCCATCCTTTATGTTTCAGGCTTCTAACGATGCATGTGATGTATATGAAACAAATGAGATGGAATGTTCGAATTGTGATTGTCACAAAAAGTTATAAAAATCCTGTAAGCTCTGTGGAAAAAAAGCAAAAAAAAACAGAAAAACATGTCAAAATTCAAGAAACAAATGATTGATATGATCGTACAGATGAAACTGGTTACCAAGCAGCTGCAAGATTTTGATGTGTCCACAGTTACAGACTACACTGTTGATTACTGATACAAGGATAAAACGACACTGTCTACGACATGTTCTGTGAAAGTTACAATGGCAAGGCCTTCATGACCGTTGACAGGAATGCCTACCCATTATAACCCATGTTACAATATCTGGCATGGCACAACCATTATACATCCTAGAGGTTATACGTGGCCGGGTTCTCTGAGTGGGGTAATTAACGATCGATGGCAGAAGAATGATGACCTCTTCGTGATACTCTGAACTGAAGGAATGATCAAACACGCGCAAGATTCGCACAAAGCCAAGAACATTACAGAGATGGTTGAAAAGGCCAAACATAGTGGTCAGTTATCATCTTAATAGATAAATATAAATGTATCATGAGACAATATGTATTTTAAGCATAACAGAAATTCTGTTCATAATAAAAAATAAATGTGTTTTACCTTAAATAAAGGGTATCTGTAAATGACCAATGAAATAAATCTATTATGGTGCTGGAAGCCTATACTCAACGGTTATACAAAGTGTTTCAATTTTTTAACTGGCTATAACTTTTCTTCTAAGAGGTTTTAAAAAAATCTGACCAGTAACTTTATAGAGATATATAAACTCTACATATGTGCCAAAAATCTTTTCAAAATCTCATCACTGTAAAGAGTTGATGCATTTTAAAAATTGAAATTTTATATATAAATTTATAAATTTACATATAGAATTTTAATTTTTAAAATGCATCAACTCTTTACAGTGATGAGATTTTGAAAAGATTTTTGGCACATATGTAGAGTTAATGTATCTCTATAAAGTTACTGGTCAGATTTTTTTAAAACCTCTTAGAAGAAAAGTTATAGCCATTTAAAAATTGAAACACTTTGTGTACCTGTTGAGTATAGGCTTCCAGCACCATATATTGTTTTAATCACATGTCCAACAGGGTTTGACATCTGCGGTAGGCAGATATGATAGCATAGCATAAGATATAAATACCTGTGTATAAAACCCAAATAATGTATTTTTTTTAAAAAAAAGCAAACCGATTATAAATTTGCACCAGACAGCCATTTTCGAGAAGAGTTTACTGACCTTTGACAGCATCTTTAACAAGACTACAAACATCAGTATCATATTAAATGCAGAGAATCATGACAATGCAGTAAAAAGCTTCTTACAAACATACAATAGATATGCTTCATACAAGAAACAGGTCATAGAGATGCAAGTGGTCAAATCACGCCACCGCTCAGAATATCAGTATCTTGTAGTCTTTACAGATAAAAATGAACAATAACAAATATCGCTTCTGTTCAACCGATAACAATTTCAATGTATATTTTTTTTCTTTAATGAAAATAGTTTAAATAAATACAGCTATATTTATTGTCTCATGCAACTTGGTAAAACCAAATGATGCTAGAATAAATCACACGCTACCACGTGCGCATCCTGGCATGTCTGATTCGTGAACACGATAAGGAGGACCACGGGTCTATCACAATCCCATGAAAAAGCATAGCAGAAGAGAGGCCGTTCATGAGGGTCAATCCAAATTTTCATGTTCACTACAATGATGTGCTGTGAGCCAGGGCCGTAGCCGAATAGCATTCAGGGACAGCACATCAGCATAAGAACATGGGAAACTTACTAATAAAGTTATGATCTCTTATCTATTTTCTTATTTAAGTATCCCAAATTCCCTTTTCATCAGTTTGTTTTTTTTGATAAACTTCAAAGGTAAGAGGGCTTCTAACTGTATATTTTTTAATCATTTATTTTTCTTACTTTATGCTAACTCTCGCTCATTGATCCTCATAGATTGTATTGATACGATGATGCTCATTTCATGTTTTTTTAGATGGGTAAGACTAAACCCGGTTATTACACAGTCTTAAATGGTCGTAAGAGGGGAATTTACAATACTTGGGAAGAATGTAAGGTGCAAGTATGTAAATATTCTAACGCGAAGTATAAGAGTTTTATGATCTAAAGCAAGCACAAAATTATATTGAGGGAAAAGAGAATGTAATTGAAATTGATCCAAACAAACTTTAAGTTTGGGTCACGGGTGTTCGTATGATAATAGTTCACAAAATTCTAAGCTGGGAATTAGGGTTTTTTGGGACAAAAATGATCCTAAAAAAATTTATCTGAATGTCTTCCGAGAGAACAACAGACTAACAATTGTGCAGAGATTTATGCAGTAATTCGTGCATTAGAAATATGCCAAGATGAAAGAAGACTATTAGAAATCATAACAGATAGTAAATATGTAACTAATACGATGGAAACTTGGATTAAAAAATGGGAAGAAAACAATTATATAAGTTATTATCATAAACCTGTAAAAAATTGCAATCTGTTTAAACGTTTGAAAAAACTCATGGATTGTAGGATCGGTTCTGTGTGTTTCGTTCACGTGTGAGGTCATGTGGGTAACTTTGGTAATGGGCAAGCTGATAGGTAAGCAAAGATTGGTTCTATGAAAGAATATATGATTGAATAAAAACTGCGATTATTGAAAAAAATAAATTTGTCAATTTTATATTGATATTTTTCTATATGATGAATAAAATTATTTAGATCAACTTCTAAAATGTAAATTTGTACAATTATTAATTACTAAGATGGATTATAATAGTATGATGATCATTTTGGGTCTGCAATGAATTTTCTAGCAATCCGTAATTTCAACTTATGCAAGAGGACAGTTGACTTCTGCAGATCACACCAGATATGGTGATCCTACTTCGTACGTTCTTTGTCTGGTTATGCATACGTTTGTAGATTATTCCTTATACATATGCATAAAATATAAACCATGCATGCTTTGTTGTCCATATTACGTAAATCTGTGTATTGACTTCTTGATCGATGTTTGGTTTAAATCATGACCAGAAATCTATTTTGATCGACTGATTTTTTTATTTAAGATAAATGGTCCTGAAATTTTATTGCAATTTATGATTAAGATGAATCTTGAGTTTGATGCTGAGAGTGTTTTCAGTAAGAAGAGGAAACAATATGATAATTCTGAATTGTTTCCGGATTCTGATATGGATGAAGCTAAGATTCTGTCCGATCAAAGCAAGAAGACCAGACTTTTTAATCCTATTACTGTAACTACCGGTTTTAAAAAAAAGAAAACCGTAAAGATAGAAGTAAAAAGCAAACCAGTTTAATTAGAGAAGTAATGAGTAAGATCGAAAAAATATCCAAGAGATGGGGGTTTGAAAACAATCATATATTTTCTAATCTTACGGATGAAGTGAAAGAATATTTAAGATCGTGTTGGGCTATGGGTATAATGTTTCTGATTGAAGAGTCATGCAAGGATTTCAGAAACCAGATGCTTGACATCAAAGCAATAATCAAAACTGCGCAAGAAGAGCTAGATCACATGTCATTTCTTCAGACACGTGCTATTTACGTTGCTTTGGTTCAACAGAAAAATCTTTTTATCACGGATGATACAGGTACAGGCAAAACACGTGTTCTGAAGTTCATTATGGCACATTACCAAATGATTTTTGGTACCAAGATCAAGGTCACCATGTCGATGGGTAAAGCAGCTCTTGAATTGAGATCCGACGATATAACTAGTAAAACCATCCATTCCGCGTTCAGACTCAGTACCAAGTTAAATGAAAAAAACTGAATTGGAAACTAAAGGATAGCAAATACCGTGAATGGCTAGTTGGAGTAAAGGCACTGATCATAGATGAATGTTCGATGGTGAATGAGAACCTTTTTGATTCTATTGTGTATCTTTTTAAGCGAGTAGGTAACGGTGTGTTTAAAAACACATACTTCATAGTCACTGGGGACTTTTTCCAACTACTGCCAGTTACTGGTGATTTCTGTTTTCTGAATGATGTGTGGTACTCCGATACGTCCAGGAACCTTCTTCGAAATTCTTGGAAAGATATGAACTTTACTTACGTTGGGATGATGGAGATTTTCAGACAGAGTGATTAGGAATTCAAATGCCATTGCACCAACATTCGTTATGGGTTCTTTAATGAAAGCACATATCAGTATTTTAAAAGGTGCAAATATTCAGAAGATGATGCCGTTCGTCTGTTTGCATTCAATAAGTTTTGTGATCAGTACAATGATCAACGTATAGGCTTGCTGCTGGGTAATGATATCATGATCTATATGTTTGATACATCCGATTACATCAAGGAGATTCGTCGATTGGAGCCAGGGTTAAGAAACATAAGAGAGATGAAAGAAAGCTTGAATTTGAGGGTGAAGCAATTGGTCGAGAAACATCTCATCCTCGAAAAGATATTCACTAGTTAGACGCAATTCGAATACGAGATACGGTTACGTTTGAATTGCCATGTCATCATGATCCAGAATTGTTCAGATGAGGTTGCCAATGGATCCTCTGGTATCTTTGTTAGTTGGCGTTCCAGAAAATTATCCAATGTTGAAAAGACCCACTGGTTGATAGGCTTTTATGTTGGTCTGAAATATCGTGAGCTTGATTTAGATGTTGGTGAGAAGTACCAGGATCATGATATGATCATTCGTCTCAATGATATCAACGAGGAGGTATTTATCGAGTTCTCTGAGATGAGCAATGAGAATTCTGAAGGTAAAAAATATATCAGAAGGCAATTTCCGATAGTCACGATATATGCTATGACTATGCATAAATCTCAGGGCATGATGTTGAAGCATGCCGTGGTAGACTTGCGAGGTTGTACACAAAAGTTTGCATATACAGTGATTACTAGGGTTATCTTTAGCGACTCGTTGGACATAATGAATCTGTCACATGCAAACACCAAAAAGTTATCAGAACAGATGCGAGAAGATCGTGTGGTTAAAAAGTTTTACCAGAATTATGTAGGCATTGATATTTCTGCTCGGCTGTTGAACTACCTGTTGTAAATTTTAATATTATAATATTATATTACTACAAAACATGATTTGATTTCTTTGTATTTTTTTGTAATACA